TCGCCGCTGATCCGTTCGCTCCATAATCGAGGGAGTAACGAAACAAGGGTAGCAGAAGACGAGCCGATTCGGTTGCACGTTCACTCGGCCGCTACGCCGCTACGCCGCTACGCCGCTACGCCGCTACGCCGCTACGCCGCTACGCCTCTCCGCCTGCGCAACAAGTATCTCTCTGTCTCTGACTTAAAATCGTTGTAGCGCGTATCCTTGGCCCGAGCGGGAAATCATTTTAGCATGATCGCCTCATTGTTTTCTTCGCGGTCTGGGGTTAGAGAGTTCCGAACGGAGGAATAGCTGGCAAATGGGTCGTATCCATTACGGTGCCGATCTTCTCGAAACACACGTGTCCAACGTCCGCTCGAGCGATCCTCGCAAAGATTCGTCTCTCGAGGTACTACGAGGATTCGACGATGATCCGACGATGATCCGACGACCATGCGAAGAATAACTTTCGACTAGGTATTTTCGAGGGAAACTCTGCTCGCTGACCATTAGTCTCGTCCTCGGAGGAAACGAACGGCGAAAAAATAGAGCTCGACCCGAAACGAAACACGTGATCGATCGAGGAACAAAGCAATTGGAGCGACACAGTTTCGGCGTTGCCGGTGAAACGATTTCTATGGAATTTTGACGAGTCGGCGAGTCGCGTCGAAATGTCGAAATGCCGAAATGCCGAAATGCCGAAATGCCGAAGAACGACACGATGAAACGCGTGGCTGAACGCGATGCGACGCGTGTGCGATGGAAGACAGGGGTGGAAAAGTGCAGCCAGTCCCTCGTTGACCACCCACGGAATTCGAGTAATCGGGCTACCGTCCCTCTTCCTCGCTCCTCGTTGCTCCGCAGGACTCGGCTCGGCTCGGCGCGGCTCGGTGCTCGGTTTCAAGGCTCCTTCCCCGCCGAACGGGCATGCCACCCCGGCGAACGGTCACGGCAGTGCGGCTGCTGAATGAGCAAAGGTGGGGGTAGCCGTCTCCTCTGAACCACCCACGCAATCGATAGCAGCCTTACCGGTTCTACTGAATGGACTCTGCCTTCCATACGGTCCGCGTTGCTCCCGCTCGTTCCGATTCGGTCGAATCGCGCGGCGAGCGTCCCTCTCTTCGTTCCCTCTCGGCCCCATTTACAGGCACAGCCACTCTCAACCTCAGCCTCTCGACCCCTAGACCCCGCGGCCCCGCGGCCCCGCGGCATCACTCTATCGATTACTACGCCCTTGCCTTCGCCGCGATCCTGCGGAGAGCCGCTCCATCGACCCATCCATCTGTATTACGTTTCATTCATAAATCTTTGCTACACAGTTCACTCGATGTCGTCGCGCTCTCTCCTTTCCGGATGGTTGTCGCGAAACGCGTCTTGGATTCGAATCGATCGCGGATCGTATCCTGCACCGAGTCCTAGTTCGACGATAGGTTCATTGATACGTACCGTGAATCGCGTGCCAGCCTGCTCGCACGCTATCTTCGCACCGCGCCGATTCGGTGGACGATCGCTGAAAGGAGCGCGTGCCTATAATGGAAAGAACGGAAAACGAGACGAAGAAGAAGAGGAGCGCTTCACCAATCGCTATTGGTCGTGACTCGTAGGTTTCGGAGAAAGGGCGTACGCCGAAAGAAATACGAGAAGCAAGGTTAAATAGTTAATAAATTTATTTATGACATTTTTGTTAAATACTGTACATCATTCCATTAGTTTTAAATGCTTGAATACGTGTACGAATGAATTGCTAGTAAGCCATAAATAGCAAACGCGCTTCAAGAATCGAAGAATCGAAGAATCGAAGAATCGAAGAGTCGAAGAACCGGCGTACTACTAGCTTTCAAATGATTCGTCTTCCAATTGCATTTGCTCGATTGCATTTATGCTAACTCGATTCGGCTTGTCGGATTATCGGATTATCGGAGTATCGGAGTACCGGAGTATCGGAGTACCGGAGTATCGGCTGATCGGACGTGTGGCCTCGCACGTGGACGCATCGTGAAACAAGTTACACGTGTAATCGGTATCGAAAGGTGACAAGGTGCGATCGGACCGATCGGCCTCGCGCTCCGCTCTCGCCTTCTACGATACCGAAGCTCGGGGAAAGAAGTAAGGTGAAAGAAAAGGTCTACGAACGTACAGCTATATCTCGGAATATCTCGGAATATCTCGGAAACTGACTCGACTCGACTCGACTCGTTTCCTTGATCTCGGTCGACGCGGGCTCGCGAGTCGTTACTCCGTAACATAGAGAAAAGTGTGCTTACATTCGATGGTTTTCGAGTAATTCGCTATAATGCACGAGAATCGTAAGTAATACGTTCGCGTATTAACGTTTTACGTTAATGGAACATCAATGTTACACCAATATTTTAATGACGCGAGTGAACTGTCACAGCGAGTATGATTGTGATATCGTGTGATTGCGTAACTATGTGTCGGGTGTTGTTTAAAAGGGGCATACAAAAAGACAAGATTCATAGAATAATTCTTGGTCCTTGACCACCGGTGGAAGATCATCTTTCGCTGCTCCAGTAACTCTTACCGATAACCTCTAGAAAGAAAGGTAAAGTTGTTTTTACGGCGTGTGCAACGATACCCGCGATGCCCACGCAAAACCACGCAAAACCACGCGTGGGACACGTAGGGCGTGTAGGGCGTGTGGGGCGTCTAGGGCGTCTAGGGCGTCTAGGGCGTCTAGGGCGTCCGGGGCGTCTAGTACGCCCAGCAAACACCTCCCCAGCTATCGTGTACCGTTAACCACGCACAGCCTATGCACACCAACCTGTACGATTGTTGACGGGGCTACGACTTCGAGAGTAACTCCTACTGTAACTCCTGCGATTCCCACGGCCATTGTGTTCCCTACTGTGACTTCGGCTTCTGCTCCTCGAGTAACTGCGGTCCTTTCCGTTACGGCCACCGCGAGATCGCCATCGATTTCTTCCGCCTAAACGAGCACCGACCGTTCAATCTCATTTGAAAAACTTGGCTCGCACGCGCGCGCGCCAACTGTTGATCGGCTGTGCCTTCGATATTTTAACCACATTTTTAACGGCTTTCGCCTGAAAAGAATCTCACGAGGTACCTCTGTGTCTCCCGTATCCACCGCTTTTACTATCGGCAAGTTCCAGCAACTTGGGATTTATAACTTGATTCGCTTCTTTCAGTACCTGGATTAGGTCGTTGGCCTTGTTAGAATTATTCGGAGTGAAAAAAGTATAAGCTGTACCGGTTTTTTGACGACGACCTGTTCGACCGATTCGATGAACATAATCCTCCGAACAAGAAGGATAGTCAAAATTGATGACAAACTTGACGTCTTCAACGTCTGAAATAAAGCATACGTATTAGCTGTTAGTTTATCGAGATTTCCGTCTCGAAGACAGACGTGTTCGCTTAAGATTGTATAATATAGTACAATATAATCTAGTATAATATAATATAATATAATATAATATAATATAATATTATATAATATACAATATATAATGTAATGTAATGTAAATGTAATGTAAATGTAATGTAAATGTAATGTAAATGTAATGTAAATGTAATGTAAATGTAAATGTAAATGTAAATGTAAATGTAAATGTAAATGTAAATGTAAATGTTAATGTAATATAATATAATACACAGTATAATAGTATAGTACATGGCGAAGTGTTCATAAAATACTATACCGAAGATTAATCGTGAACTTGAAATCAAATGATTCTATTAGCAAAGACGCTCTCCAAAAGTTAACGGTGGTCAAACTCTACCGTTCTTTTTTTCGCGCAAACATGTATAATCATTCTTTCTTTCGTTTCGCTCGACGAAACGACCAAGTGAAACAACTAGAATCTTTAGAGAGCGTTTTGACACTCGAGTACAAAGCTCTGAAATAAATTAACGTTTTCGCGCAGAGACAAACCTGGTTCGATTTCTGTCTTTCTTTTCTTTTCTTTTCTTTTCTTTTCTTTTCGTTAACAACGTTTTACGTTTCGTTTGTTTCCTCTTCTGAAAATTGAATCGATCGCATTTTAGAGCAAGCAAAAGATCGACGAAATCGGACCGCTTAGAAATGGAACCAGAATCGATATACGTGGATACGCGTATAGTAATTGGTAGATACGAAAGATAAATATTGAATCGTATAAGAATGAATCAAGTGTGAGTTTACGTAATGGAAATGGAAGAAATACGTACAATTATGAAGTACATCTATCGGAAAGTATACGCGTACACGCGCATTTAGTGTCCCGTAAGATGCAGACTGCTTAAAACTTTCAAGTTCCCAAGCAACAAACTACGAATCCACTAGAGAAAGAGAACTCTCG